CGTGACACGTGTACTGGGCGACCTCTGGGCCAACCTCGGTGAGGAGAAGGCGACCTACACTACTTTAGCCAAACAGGTGAGTCCGTGGGTGGTTGACGGGTGCTCTGGTGTGGTTTGCTTTTTCTTTCCTTCTATCAAACGTCTATCGTCCTTATCTCCCCTTCTTCTTTTTTATGTTTGTTACTCTCTTGTAACACCTCTAATCTTCTGGCGCTCATATGACCTTATGCAGTTGCAAGCGCCGTAAAACCCTCTACTAAAACTACAAAAAAAAACAGATGAGTCCAGGGGCCCTCTAGGGGCTTGAGTTTATGAGAGTGGGGGGAGGGGAGGGGGAATTTGTTTGAATATATTAATATATACTGAGGTTCGTATTTCTAGATTTTAAAAAATCCTCTTTGTTGGCCCTTGTGTGTATTGTATGGGGACACACTTTTTTTAACCATGTAGTTTTGGAAGAATTTCACTTTTGAGATTGTTTGTACATTTTTTTCTTTGTATTGTGGTGTGTTTTCTATTGTTATTTGTTAATATTGTCTTGTTTGCGTGAGAACCAACAAGTGAAGTTATTGCACTTGAAATGCCTTTGCTATGACTCTTTAGAAGATGTTGTATTACGAAAATTATGTGCAATAAAGAAAGAAACAATAAAAGCCTTTCAAGTGTAAACTTGGATAGCATTTTTTGAAAAATAAAAATGTGAGGCATCGTGGTCTTCTTCTTCTCGATCGCATCACACTTGAAGTCCGGTATCTGTCATAAATTGGGCTGTCCTGCTCAGTTCATCTGTCAGCCTGTATAGCTTCTCTTGTAGTGTCAGTGGGGTTGGCCACGTTTCCTGTCTCAGGGCCCTGTGTGTCTTGCAGTGCTGAAGGATGTGCTCCACAGTTTGGTCCGCCTCTCCGTCTAAGTCTTTGTGTGTTGTGTTGTTAATCATAAGATCATCACTTGTTCTTGACGGAACAGCTCATGGTGGCTATCTGGTGTCTGGGGTGCTTTAAACTGTGTATTTATAATAGTTTTTATTTCTGTGTAGTTAACTCTGTTGTCTGGTTGCTTGAATGAGGCACCGTGGTGAAATCAGGCGCTTGTCAAAATAATGAAATCGAAGAAAACAGCATATTCCCAATGGTTAGGCAATTTTTTACAGAATTTTTGTTTTTTGGCTTATCACATCTTACGTCAGTTGGAAAACCCATTTTGTGTGGACATTACTGAAAAATATTAATTACAGACAGAAGATAATGTAAATTTCCATTTCCCATACACTCTCAAACTATCGATGTTACCTAACTTTGGCTACTATTTAATTTCTCGATAATTTACCTCTGAAACCAGGTGACCCATACCTTCTTCAATCGAAAGTATCTCGACTTCCATTCAAATTAGACGAGTACTTCTTTCATTGAATGCAAAGCAAATGAACAAGCTGTAATATGATGATACCCTTAGCTCCACAAGCTCAAGTGGGTGGTTGGCGGGTGCTCTGGTGTGGTTTGCTTCTTCTTTCCTATCAAACATCTATCGTCCTTATCTCCCCTTCTTCTTTTTTATGTTTGTTACTCTCTGTCTTGTAACACCTCTAATCTTCTGGCGCTCATATGACCTTATGCAGTTGCGAGCGCCGTAAAACTTCTACTAAAACTAAACTAACACAAGCTCAAAAAAAAAAATGATGAGCGCCTGATTCCACCATGTGGTGACACAAATGATTCAGTGGAGACTGCAATGTTTTTGTGTGTTCCAATGTCTCCAGTACAAGGATGCCTTTATGAAGGCCAACCCGGATTACAAGTGGCACAACACGGACAAGTCCAGCTCAGCGGCAAGCAAAGTGACCGCGAAACCCACCAATTCCAGGGTCATCAAGAACGTCGCCGATCTTGTTCCTGAAGGGGGGATAACTCCGGGAAAACTTGCAGGTATCCTAGATGGGTCGATCTACTGATCTCTTTCTCTGTCTGTCTGTTTGTCTGTCTTTCTGTCTATCTGTCTCTCTCTCTTTCTCTCTCTCTCTCTCTCTCTCTCTCTCTCTCTCTCTCTCTCTCTCTCTCTCTCTCCCTCTCTCTCTCTTCTTATGAATATTTTTTTGGTGATTTTTGTTCTTTTTCCTTCTTTGTAGTGTAACATACTTGGTGGGTGGTTGGCGGGTACTCTGGTTTGGTTTGCTCCTTCTTTCTTATCAAACATCTATTGTCATTAAAATGGCTCCTCCTTCAACTCTTTGACTATGACTCTCAAGTAACGCCTCAATCTTCAGCACTTGTATACCCCATTTATGTTGCAAGTGCTGCTTCTTCTTTCCTATCAAACATCTATCGTCCTTATCTCCCTTTCTTCTTTTGTATGTTTGTTACTCTCTTGTAAAACCTCTAATCTTCTGGCGCTCATATGACCTTATGCAGTTGCGAGCGCCGTAAAACCTCTACTTAAACAAACAAGCAGGTGCTGTAAAACTTTTTCCATTTAGTAAAACTAATTTAAAACAAAAAATTGTTTTCTCTTAGACCCGGACAAGATGGGTGGCCTGAACTTGCTGCTTCTGGCAGGCCGAGAGACTGCCAACGAGGACTATGCGAGGCACTCGGCTCCCAAGACGTCTGTGGCTCCCCACATCACCGTGACGACTTCTGCCAGTGTCTCCGCCTCTCCTGCTACCTGCTTCGCTGCTTCCTCGGGAGCTGACGTGCCACCTGCGTCCACTAACTCAGCCCTTCTTCAGCTTGCAGAGGTGAGCCTAGCCTTGAGTGTGGTTACAGGTGTTTGGACGGTGGGCCTTCTGGTGTGGTGTGCTCGAACCACAGGCTTGTCAACTGTCCCAATTTTATTGTGACTGTTCTAATTTTATCAGAACTGTCCTGGTTTTGGCTTAGTGATCTAAATTGTGTTAATGAGGACATTAAAAAACACCTATATTTTTACAAAAGCATTACTTTTTGGGGAGGGGGGAGGGACTCGACTTCTATCAAGAGATTGTTGAAGGAACCTATAAACTATAAAGAAAATTAATTGAAAGTGGTTCATTGTGCAGATGTGTTTTCTGAAGGTGGCCGTCGTTTTGTGATGACAAGGGAACAAAAATCGTTTTGTGATGACAAGGGAACAAAAATTGTATTTACGCTAAGGCTAATAATGACGGTTCATTCAAGACACATAAAAACATGAAAACATTTGGAAAATCAAAGTACTTTGCCGAAACTCAAAGCACTGCCCTTGTGTGACTTTTACTTTATGTAATTGGTCTCCCAAATTTTTCATTTGAGTTGGGTTGGATGTGGTTTTTGACATATAAAAAGATATGCATTTGCTCACAAATTGGAGGTTGTGTAACGTTTTTCGTTTCCTCCCCTCAGATGTGCACCAGTGAGCTCCACAGTCCGCTGCCCACGACAACGCCGCTAACTCTTCCCCATCAGTCCGCAACGTCCAGTTCCCCGTCGCCGACGGCAACAGCCGCCACCACCTACCCCTTCTCCTCTGGCACGGACTCATCCCAGTTGGCAGCATCTGCCAAGAGGTCCCCCGTACAGACTGCCGTCATGTCCTCCTCACACCCGCTGCCCCCGCCCAAGAAGAGAGCCAGACACTGGAGCCTGTCGGAGAGTGGCCAGGTTTCCACGGATACTGCTTCTGACTGCGGAGATGCCTCGTCCGACCTGGCGGGTGATGCACACAGGGATGTTAGATGTTGGGGCTCCGAGGAGCCTCTCGCTGCCAAGAGAGGATGTGGTGCGTTGTCCCCGCTAAATCTTTCTATGCCAAAGTCTCTGGCCTTGCCCCAGGGATCGGATCCCATCTTTGGCAAATTTGCCACCTTTGCCGATTATAAACAGACATGCCATGCTCGGAGAACCTCGTCCTCTGCCACAGAATCGCTTCCTTCCCCCTCCCCACCATACCCCCATGACTCGGAGTCCCCCGTTTTCCTTCAGGCAGAAGCGGGAGACTTGTGTAAAGCAGAAACGAAGCTTCCTCTCCCAAAGAAGGTGCCGGAAAGTTTCCAGAGGAGCTATCTTCCCCAGCTTGGTGAAGATGTGTTGCACCTCGCAAAACAGGCCCCGCCTCCCCCTACACATCTGCCAGATCGGCGGTACTGGGAGGATCCGCCCCCTCTGACAGCAGAAGCAGACGCGAGACTGGCATCCCATGTTCTCCGAGCCTCCCTGATGTGGGGACAGGAGAGGAGGTCGGTGGATGAGGAAAAAGGCGTGACGAGTGTACAGCAGAGTGACCTTGTCTCACAAACCTGTGGTGACCGCGCGGGTTATCGACAACAAGTCGGCTTGGCAGGAGGGGGTGGGTCAGTGGACTCGAACCTGGAGAGTTCTAGACCAGAGTTCATGCAGTGGCGACAGCGGAGTGAAGGAGGGTTTGGTCAGGAGGAAGGCGCGGCAGGAAATACCCAGTCGGCTCATCTGAGAGGGGGGGTTGTGTCGAGATCGGCAGAGCCCGTTTCGCACAACAAAAATTTTGAAGCTGGCGATGGAGTTCAGTCAAGTCTCAAGTTCAAGACGGACGTCCACTCCTTCCTGAGTGAGAGACGAATCGCTTCTCTCTTGTCGAGCTCCCCGACACACCCTGTGCCCCCGTGTAGCGACCAACACTCGGACAGCTGGTCCACGCTGAGTCAGGAGAAATCAGAGGAGCTTGGACCGGCCGAGTCAGACCCCAGGTCCCCGCTCTCCGGACACCCAGGACCTGCCAAAGGAAAGCTGAAGAAGAAGTGGGCGGAGAGGATGTTGGCCGAGGCCTTCAAAGAGGAGATGGCTCGGAGACCTTCCAAACAGGTGGACTCTTCCCTCCAGCACAGCGCAGGGATGGGAAAGGAAACGGCGAATTCAGGTTCAGAATTGTTGAGGCTTCCCACGAGTAGCGGTGACGGTGGTGGTCTGGTCAGTACAGGTCTCAGACCAGCTAGCGGAGGAGGGGAGAACGCTGGTGACTTCAAACCCTCGGGACAACTGTTGTTTAGCGGGAGAAATCCCCTGGACCTGCCCTCGTTCAAGACGGTTAAGCCTGAAACTTCCAGGCTGGGCCAAAGCTCCAGAAGATTTTCGTTTTCAGAATCCGCCCCAGTTGCCAAGACAGACAGGAGTCCCCCTTCTGGGGACTACTACCGAATTGGTAACCTCAGCTTCCCCCCTCCCAAGAAAGCTAAGCTTGAAGATGGTCCCAGTTCTTTCTACAAAAAACTACAGAGATCGGCGTCTGGCGACATCGTTGTTTCATCGTCCGTCTCCAGAGATCACAGGGGACCTGGCAACCTGCCGGTGAGCAGCGCCGAGCGCCTCAACCCTATCACAGCCTGTGGCAAACGAATCGTGGACCACATTGTCGAACGGCTGTTTCAGACAGATTTCTCTGGCGAGTCGCCCGGCGGTCAAGGTGCGGAGAGATACGCGGCCAAGGAGTTGAGTAAGGAAGAGAAGGAAAAACGTTCACAGTGGAGCCAGTACAGGGAGTCGGCAGACAGAGACAGCTGGCTGAAGAAGGAGGCGATGGAGGAGGATGGCTGGGTGAAGAGGGAGAGGAAATATCTGCAGGCCAAGACGGAGAACCACGGCAAGGCGAAGGAGGAAAAAGAGGAGTGGGCAAACAGGGAGGCCAAGCTCAGCTTTCCAAGACTGTCGGCCAGCAGTTTGGTGGAGAAAGTTGTGAAAGAGGTACGTAAGCCTATCTTGTTGACAGGCTGTTCAATTGTGTGCCAGGCTCAGACACCAACATTTTACAGGAGGTGGACAAAGCGGGGGGGGGGGGTTCTTTAAACAATTGTACCTATGTTATATTTCTTCTTGCTTTTTTTCAACTTTTTTAGAATTTGAATTTTGTCAAAAAAATGTCTTGAGCATATGCAACCGTTATAAGGGAGTTAAAAAACTGCAGTTTTAAAAAGTTTCAAGATTTTGGTTTTGTACATTTTAACAGCTGGTCAACGTTGTGTTATCTTCTCAACACATTAATGTTGTGCAACCCCGAAAGGTGGTTTGGTGTTCTGTGCTCCTCCTATTTGATAAAATACTGTTTTCTTTTTAATTTTGTCAGTTTTGAGATAATGAGGATATTTGTTTCCTCTCCCCTACTTTTGACATTCTCAGTATATTAGTCAAGAGTAAATATATAACGGGAAAAAGATCAGAGTCAAATAGTGCTGAAACATAAAAGCCCTTTGTTTACATTCTTTTATTTTGTGGTTTTTATTTGATGAAAAGGGATATGTGTAATCGTGTGCGTGTGATAAGCAAGTAGATGTGTGTGTGTGTGTGTGTTTGGCATACATGTGTGTGCACATGTGTGCGTGCTATGTGTTCGTGTTCGTGAATGTGTTTGTGTGTGTATGTGTATATGTGTTTGTGTGTATATGAGTGTGTGGATTTGTGTGTGTGTGTGTGTGTGTCGCGTGCATGAATATTTTTCTTACATGCATTTATGTAAAGCGCCTAGAGCTGTGTTTACACGGGAGTGGGCGCTATAGAAATGATCTTCATTATTATTATTATTAAAAATGTTCTGACAATTTCTTTTACCTTGACTGTAAGTGCTGGGTTGTTGTTTTTTTTCTGTCTGGGTCATATGAGTTGATCTTAATCTCTGACAATTCCTTCTTTTCCTTTGCTATAGGTGTGTGGTCCTCCGATAAAGAAAGAAGATTGTCACTGTAGCAGTGGAGCCGACGGCAAAGGTCCAGCGTCCAAGAGTCACCCGGGAGGTGCTGCTCCTAGAATGACACCTCCGGCTAGCAGTAGTGCCAGTCTAGCGGCTACGTCGTCGTTGTTGTCATTGTCATCATTCGCAACAACCGCAGCAGGATTGAGTAAACAGTGTCTTCTGGGTCAGGTGAATGCTCTCGAGGTGAAGCCTGAACCGCCATCCAGGGAGTCGCTGGGGTCGTGCGGGGTCACAGAGGAGCGAGGACCTGCTGTGACCAAAAGTGAGGACAGCACGCACGGACGCAACAAACCTGTCTCCACCGGTCTCAAAACTGTTGGCCAGAGAGCTGGTGACTGTGAAGGCAAGTCATGGCTGTTTGTTGCCCTTTTTGGTTGTGGACATTCGGTCTAGATGCACTTAGTGAAGTCGGTGGGGCTCAGAAATCTTTTTCATTATGTACGAATTTCTTTGTATACTTGAACTTACCAAAATTAATAATAATAATAATAATAATAAATAGCATTTGTATAGCGCATATCCCCGCTCAACAACAGGCTCTATGCGCTTTACACTATATTATATCATGTATCAGAAAAAATTCAGGCCCTGAAAATCTCTTTGCTACGCGTGTGCTAGATCGTTGTTTACTTTTACAATGTCTTTGTTACATGTACGTGCTGCACATTTATAACTTGCCGAATGGAAGCCCCTGGTGGTACTTCTAACTGGTTCATATCTTCTCTCCTGTGCTAGAAAGGTTAAAAGCGGAAAATCCTTTTTTCCATCATTTGATATTACGGTCCTCAAAATACGAGCTGCTTAGTCATTGGGTCCATCTAAAGACTTTGGTGTGTGTGGGTTCAACTGTGTGTAGGCCCTACAAGTGTGTGTCTGTATGTGTGTGTGTGTGTGTGTGTGTGTGTGTGTGTGTGTGTGAGAAAGAGAGAGTGTGTGTGTGTGAGAGAGAGAGAGAGAGAGTGTGTGTGTGTGAGAGAGAGAGAGTGAGAGTGTGTGTGTGTGATGAGAATGTATGCCTGTATTCATATGAGCCATGCCACAGCAAATTTCTCCTCGTTGAGTTATATATATATATATATAGTTTTCTTATTGTTGTCAGCAGTTGAAAAACAGATATTTCACTGTAAATTTTGTGCCAATTTCTTATTTTTCTCATCTTCATGCTTATTTTAAAGCCTATGGCTGGTGCATTGTTGTTGCTGGATTTTGTGACCCAAACCTTATATTAAACAGAGGTGGTTGGTGGGTGCTCTAGTGTGGTTTTCTTCTTCTTTCCTATCAAACATCTATCATCCTGATCTCTCCTCCTTTCCTTTTTTTTGTGTTTGTTACTCTCTTGTAACACCTCTTATCTTCGGCACTTATATGACCTAATTGTATTACAAGTGCCTTAGAACACTTTAAACAAAACAAACACCATATTAGATTTAAACAAACAAACACCATATTAAACTTTCAACTTACTCTAGCCCTGGATATATTAAAAGAATCTTCCTTGTCCTTCTGTTCGCAGGATCTGGTGAGCAAAAGCCATCACTATCTTCAGAGTCGTGTGAGCCAGAGCATGCGGAAAACAACAACTGTGCTGTAGCTGACTGGGAAGTGGAAGCAGGCATCCAGCCCGTGCGCAAGTCAAGGCGAGCCAATCGCGGACAGAAGTACCAGGCGCTGATCAACGAGGGCATCATACAGCCCTCCAGGGAGCGCCTGGCTGCACGCACCGCCGAGAGGAACGGGCGGAGTTTTAGGTACGAACGTTGAGGTTGTTTTGTTTGTGTGGTGCGGATGTGTCATGAACTGGTTGTGAGCGCTTAGGTGTGGTCCTCTCCTTTTACTTTTTTATCATTCCTTTGTTGCAGGCGTGCCAACTGACCGGGATTCATCAATTGGGAAGTTGAGAGGCATATAACGTACTCTACGCCAAAATGAGTTCCACTTCATTTTATTTTGTTCAAGCCTGTTGCCTTTATGACTCTGTCTTACTCTTACTTGGCAATAAATACTTTTGGACTACTTTTTTTTTTTTTTTTTTACATTTGCAAATGATTTTCCTCCAGTGTTGTTGTTGTTGTTATCGATCCAGCAACAGCTGGGCTCTCGCCCTTCTGTCCAATGCCATGTAGTGATAAGTGCAGGTCTGCTGCAGTTGCTGTAATGTTCCATAGAGTGTGTTGTCAATGTTACGTCTCGGAGGGAGAAGGGTAGCTCTTCCTCCAGTGTAACTTAGCCTTATCTGCTCCTGGCAAAATGTGGTCTGCTATCTTGCTGATTTTCACTCTACCTTGAAAGACCTTGTTTTGTTGCTCTGTTTTTTGTGTTCATTGTTTGTTTCTTAAGTCAGTTTTGCTGTTGACCCGTCCCACTTCACTGGCGTCTGTGGTGTAGTGGTTAGGTGCTTCACTGTCGCACATGTGGGTGGTTGGCGGGTGCTCTGGTGTGGTTTGCTTCTTCTTTCCTATCAAACATCTATCGTCCTTATCTCCCCTTCTTCTTTTTTATGTTTGTTACTCTCTTGTAACACCTCTAATCTTTTGGCGCTCATATGACGTTATGCAGTTGCGAGCACCGTAAAACCTCTCTACTAAAACTAAAAAACTGTCGCACATAGGAGACCCGAGTTCCATCTCTGAGTGAGGCGAATCTTTTATTGAGTATCTTGGGTTTTTTTATTGGGATGTTGTATCCCTTTCTGTATGGGTTGGCCCTGACAGGCGAGGTCAGAAACCTGTCTCCAGAATTATTTAATTTTTGTTGAGGGGGAAGGGGAGGGGGGTTAATTAACACTTGCAGTAAAAAATTAAAAAATGACCCCCTCTTCTGTTTCTTGTACTAAATTTAGTACCTCTGCTGTTAATGTGTCCATGTGCTTCTCTTTACCTTAACAAAAGCAAACTGAGACAGAAGATGTTTGTTCTCCCCCCCGGGCAGTGCCACTGACTGAAGTGACCCCCCGGGGCAGTGTCACTAACTGAAGTGTCTTTAGGCCATTCCCAAAAGGGGGACATTTCTCATTCAAGCACAGTAGAATTGTAAATGGGCTGACTCATCATGTCACGCTCATAACTGTGCCTGATCTACAACAAGGAACTGCTGCTTTTTCTTTCCTGATCCTTACTATTGTCATTTTCTTCTTTTTCTTTTGTATGTTTGTCACTCTCTTGTGATCCGCTATTTGCAGGGCGCCTTGATAGTCGAAGCAGACCTTGTGCTGTTGAAGCTAGAGAGGTGAGAAGAGTAAGTCTGATTCCCTGTAAAGACTTCTCTGTTGACACCCACCCCTCCTTGGCGCTCATATGACCATATGCAGTTGCGAGCGCCTTGAAACCCTCTACTAAAACTAAAAACTAAGAAGAAGTTTGTTGTGATTCCAGCACGCGGGACGAGTTTGAGAGGCAGGAGCAGAAGCGGTGCCTGAAACGGTCGGCCAGCGAGCGGGACATGGCCGGGGACAGTGTTTCCACCGGGGTCGCTGCGACAACGCCGACGACAGCTGCTGCTGCTGCTGCTGTGGGACAGGAGAAGAAGAAGGTCGCAGACAGGTACGGCAGTTGCTGGTGTAGTGAATGATTTTGCGTATAATTTTTAGTGCTGTTAATTGATGTTAGGGGTGTTACGTGGGCCAGCCAATCAGATGTAGGCCTACCAAGCCGAACATATTGAAAAATACAGTGGGACCTGCTCTACCAGCCATCTGTAAAGACCATCATCTGTGCAAATGGCCATTTCCCGTTCTGGGAGTTCCCACTCTTGCTTTTTTTTTTTTACATTTTCATAAGCCTGTGTAAGACGGCCATTTTTCTCCTTGACAATTGATGGCCGTCTTAGACAATTCCTGCTCAACAGCAAGCTCTATGCGCTTTACTTTGTATAAGATTATCACAGGCAGAATGGACAGTATTCTGAAACTATCTCGGTTTTTAGTTTTGAATATTGAAAGTGGATTTTCTTGCTAAACATGATAGATTCTAAGATCTAGATCTTGGCTAGATCTATGTGAATCTTAGATCGAGATCAAGAATGATGAAAGTATTGAACGTGGATTTCTTCCTGCTGTGAATAGATCTAGAATATAGAACTAGGCTGTAATAGCATCTAGATCGAGATCAAGAATCATGAAAGTGTTCTTGAAAGTGGATTTTTCCTACTGTGAATAGATCTAGAAATC